TTTCCCACCTCCCAAGTCTGAAGAAGCCAATTTACAAAGGAAGACTTTCCATCAGAGTCCACACATGTATGCTGTTACTTCCCAAATTGTACCAGTACCGTTCTGTTTGGCAGCTTTGTTAGAACTTACCAGAACAACGATTGCAGCCACTATTGCAATTACTACCACTACAATGACAGCAATAAGCCCAGGAGTCAGAGACTTCATGGAAAACTCTGGTGCTATTTCATCAACATAGTAGACCACTGTCTTCTCAAGCTTCACTGGTTCGTTGTCAATGCTGACATTGAGCCCAGCATTATTATGAAAGATGGATTGACCTTTTACCTAAAACAGATAGGAAAAGAGAGACTTGTTAGTTCACATTGTAGCAGGCATTTATCTTGTCACAAGAGTAATTCACTCTGCTTTATTAGGCAGTACACAGCCAGACTCCCGAGTGCAGTGCAAGACACGCACCCAGCCTCTAGTAGACTTTACCCGTGACACACTTACATCTTTTTCAAAGTAGTAGGCCACATCAGCTATATCCACATCTCCGAATGATTTGTCAGAGGCATTTTGCTTCAAATCAATAGTAATGTAAGGGTTTTCATACTGCAAGAAAAAAATAGTACGGTATTAAGAAGGAGGTACTTTAAATCCAGCTATCAAATATTCACCAAAACGTTATGATCCAGTTTGTGAACTTGCATCCTGGATCAAGTTTATGGTTCTTGAACTCAAGCCAACTATTTACAGTAGGATTCAAATTCCACTTTTTAAGTGAAGCAAAGAAGTTACCTACAGACTAAGGAGAGTGTAGTTTCTCAGCATTTCTGTTTAGCCATTTGCTGACTGCTCACTATTTTGAGAGCTTCTACTAGAATTAATGCTGTATTACATCAGTCAAATACGAGTTTTTTAAGTTACTCACAAAAAAATGAAGTTCTGATACTTTACTAAACTTTATGTGCCTCTTACCAGAACACTGGCTATATAGCGGCCATTCAGCTGATAACGACTGGTAATGGTATCTGTGAAAAACCTGCAAGAATATGAAAGCCATGGCTGTAAAAACAGTATTATTTCACATGAAGCATTTGAGAAGTAGAGAAGAATGGTGTAATTGTTTTCTTCTGCAGTCTCTGTGGTGGGTGGACCTCACCTAGCAGCTAAACCCTCACCTAGTCTTTCACTCACTTCCCCCTAGCAGGATTGGGAAAAGAATCACAAGGGCAAAAGCAAAGAAAAAAACCAACAACCCCCATTGGGGTTAAAATAAGACGGGAAGTGAAAGGGCTGGGTGGGGAAAATATAAAACCTCAAGTGATGTAAGTGCAGTCAGTCATCACTGACAGATCAATGTCCAGCCAACCTCTGAGCAATGGCTACTCGGGAAAAAACTTTCCCCCAAATCTACTGCTGAACATGACACCATACAATATGCACTATCTGTTCAGTCAATTCAGGTCAGCCCTGTCCCCTTCCCAGCCTTTTGCCCATCCCCAGCCAACTCATTGGGGCAGCAGAGCGAGGGTCTGAGAAGGCCCTTACATTATGTAAGCACTGTTAGCAGCAGCTAAAACACTGGTGGGTTTACCAGCACCTTTTTGGTCACTGGTCTAAAATGTAGCAGCACACCAACTGCTACCAAGAAAATTTAAATTCTGCCCCAACCAAACCCAGTGCACTCTTCATACTGGAGTTCAATTGAACTCCTAACAGTGAAGATGCACTTACTGTAAAATAAACACCTGTGTTAGACAAAAGAGCTTTACCAGTTTGAAGAACTCAGAGGAACAGCTAGAGGGNGAATACACAATTTGAATAGCTGAGATCTTGGCTAAGTACACACTGATGGTTACAGATAAGGCAGGAGACAGGACAGGGAGAAAAGGAGTGTCCCAAACATCTGGAGACAAGGTGGACTCCAGGGACCTCATTGTCATTTTCAAAAGCGGTAAAATAATGTCTGCTAAGCTGTAATTGCTGAGTGTTTCAGCGTTTCCCTCTCTCTGCCCTGGGCTGGTTGCACCTCCTCGTCCAGCACTTTGCTCAAGGCAGCTCCGCAGGCTCCCGCTCGCAGCGAGCCTCCACCCAAAGTGGCCGCTAATGTCCCGGGCGTGGTGACCACAGCCCGTGAACAGCCTTGGTGCTGTGGCATCCCTTGCACAGAGCAGCTCGGCTCTGATCGCCTTCCCTTGGAGCCTCTGCCACTTCCTGTATCCCGCTGTTCTTTCTGGGCAGCTCCAGCAGGGACCGGCTGATGCTCGCAGGTGGACTCTGAGTGGGGACCTGTCGCCAGGCTGGCTTCTTTCACTGAGCTGTAACAGAACACTCCCTGCTTTTTCCCTGGCCTACCAGCAGTGACGGGAATTGTTATGTAGTTGTTATGCCCGTGGCAGATGGAAAACTGCTGCTATCTAGACCATAATTAACTTTTTTGCCTTCTTTGGCATAAGTAGCGTATAGAGAAAAGTTATAATGGGTTTTCAGTTAGGAAAATGGATGTCCTTTAACCACTTTAAAGGAAAAACAAAGAAAAAAAGAAAAAAAAATTCTTTTTCATCAGTGGTTAATTAGAAGACAGCTGTGATCCACGGCAGCTCTAATGCTTTTGAGCTGGTGGGGATGTCACCAGAAAATCTGGTATCAGACTGATGGGTATCTGTGTGTGTACACGTGTTGTGGAGCAGAGATTTAACATTAACAGGATAAGAATATTTAGAACACAAGTTTTAAAACAGAAAATATGGCACTTGTAGAGAAGCCTTTAACTTTGTTTACTTTTTTCCACTCAGATTTGGCACAGTCATGCTCTTCTTGGCAGGTAAGTGTAAGAATTCTGCAGTGCATTTAGAGGATAGTAGAGGGAGAAAAAAATTAAAAAACCACCTCTTGCATGTCTGAGGTTTTCACACAGTATCAACTCGTCAGTGTTTCCTCTACCATCACACACCACTTCCCTTTTGTGCATGTCTGCCCTTTCCTGTCCCTGCTAAGACAAAGATTTTAACACAGTTCATAAAACTTTCTGGTTTTGTGTTCAACTATTGTGAACATAGGAGGCACCCCTGAGTGTGCCTGACTGCCTGCATGCCCTGGGAGGGACCTTTACCAGACTGCAGCCTCTCCTGGCAACTCCTAGAATTCCCTAACTAGCACTTGTAAATTTGGAGCAGCAGAGCTGCTAGCGTTTTCAGTTTCCTAGAATATTTTTCTGGTTATTTCATGTCATCCAAAGTCACTGCATTCTGGTGATCAAAGCCAGCAGGCGAGAATATAAATAAACATGGTTCACAAACAGTGTTATTTCTCTTACCAAACTACTCTGAGAGAGTACTACTCAGGAGAGTAATGGGTACTCAACAGTAGTCTCAACAGACCCCACAGATGCAACACTGACCTTTCATTTTCTAGCTGTGGAAACTGTGTTTTGGCATTACTCAGGTCTTAGAATAAAGTTGTAAAGACTTTAAAGTCATGTTTTCTCAAATATATTATTAGCATACCCTTTTCCAAAACGTCTGTAATTGTCTTTACATAAACATATATTTAATTTTACTTAGAAGTAATAATAATATATATTTACTAGTGTAATAATTAATGAGGAAGTAATCGATTTGCACTTGCCTATACAAACACTCTTTTCCAATGTTGTACATAGGGATGAAGATATGTATTATTACTAGGGTTTCTTGCAGTTTGTGTCTATCCCTCTCTGTAACACAAAAATCTCATTTATCCAGTCAATACATTTTCAGTCTGCCCTTCATATGCTTTCTCAAAATTGACATTATGCAAAAAGACAGGAAACATGGTATCTCAGATTTGTGTAGAACTTTAGATTTTAAAAACATGCTCCTTCGCGTAAGGAAGTTAATGAATAAGGCAAATGGAAGCATCAAAATGTTTACCTAGTTAAAAATTGATGCAGTGACTACTAGTCCTTTATTAAGTTTGATTAGTCTGTTTCTTTTACAGGAAACTCTCTTTTTAAGTTTGATGAATGTTTTTAAGTTTGATGAATAGTATTAAAAGTAGTATCCAAGTATCAAAATAGAGACCATTTAGTACCATATTATTTTTCAGTAGCAATCATTTTTTGCCATATTGCTCTATATATGAGATCTATCACAGCTGTATGTGGAGAGTTGACACAATCTGATAATGGCTTTTTTTTCTTTAAATTTCATCACATTAGTTTCCTCTCGGTAAAAAACGCTATAAAACACAGTAAGCTGCAGGATGCCAATACACTATTTTCTCAGGTATTTTCTCCCTCATCTTTTTCCATTTCCCTATAAATACACACTTTTATGCAGCTGGACAAGTGCAGTGTTTGGTAAATAGAACAACACAGGCCAATATAGCAATAAAACTATTTATGATAGGAAACTAATGAAAAAACTACTACTGATCACCATTTTGAGAACTGAGCACCACCATGTTAGTACCATAGTAACTGAGTTTAGAAACAGTGCATTCCTTTCAGTTGTGGATTTAGTTAAACTCTGGGGGTTTTTAAGAATTTCTGTAAACTTTCTGGTTTTCTAATCCCCTGGCTAGTTTCAGGTAAATTTGACAAGGAAGAAGACCATAATGCAGCACTAAGCTTCATATCTGACACAAAAAGCTCCACTGAGTAAAAAAAAAAAAAATGTGAAAGTGTCTGAATGCCTCCCTGTAGTGTGGGAAAAGCAGGGAGATGTTCAAACAAACCAACTGGGACAAGGTCCAGGCCACACAGCAGCGACATACCAGCCTGTCCAGTCAAGTCTGCACACATGCAGCTCCAGCCCAACGCCAGCACACAACACCTCTTTCCATCCCACAGGCCAGAAACATGCTGTGAAATCGGGAAAGAAGAAGCAGGAGAGAAAACAATGGCATTAGAAGATTGGGGAGAAGAAAGAAATGGCAAGGATACCATATTGCAGACTTTTAAGGGAGCAGAGGAGATGGAAACCAAAGCTCTGGGGAAGACAATAGTACACACAACTCAGCACAAGACCACCTTACTGAAAACTTGGCTTTATTTGGTTAACAGCTTACAGAATTGTATAAAATTCATCACACCTCAGCAGATCGCCCACATACCTGGGGAAAACAGGAATGGCACAGATCAGCAGAGGGAGAGCCTGCCCTGCAGAATGTATCACTGACAAAGCTGCCTGAAAAGGCTGCAAAACATCCCAGTAATTTCTCTACGTCAGGATTTTTATGCAATATCCAACACAGCAATGGATGCACGTGAGGTGCCACCGTGTTGAAGGGCAGAAGGGATACTGGTGAACTGTGACAGTGGAGATACCATGAGCACAGTTCAGCAACTTCCCTGTGACAGCTAGCAGGCACATTGATGGGAAATGCTTCACATTTAACTCCATGAACTGCATGTAAAATGTCCTCTCAGTAGTTTATCCTACTTTTCCTGTTTTAACCAGGGTGAGTCAAAACCTGCACATTAGTAACACAGTTTGTCATTCCGTTCCTTATCTTGCATCTCATTATTTCTTTGGCAATAGGAGTTGCAGCATTTCCTTTATAAATCAGACACGCTGGAAGGATTGCTAGCCAACATCCATTGCACTTTGTTACTGACAGCCAAAGCAAGCTCTCGTGTCCTGGGAGGCTGAGAGCCTGTGGAAGTCTGGTCAACATCTATGGCAGAGAATAGGAATAACAGCAGAAATAGCTCCTTACTGTGCAACAGCTTTGCCACAGACAAAAATCACAGTAATGGGGTAAATTGCACTCCACTATCAGATGCCAAGCCTGCCCACCCCCGACCCTGCACCAGAGATGTCCTAGGTTAGAGGCTTATTTTAAATACTTAGATAGCTTTGGAAAGCTCAGTCTATGCATTCCTGAAATGACCGCATTCTTAGCCTGTTGGTTTTTTATGCAACAATCTGTATATTATCATTTCACTCTTGTCATATACTTTTCACAGCTTTAAGAAAAAATATCATGCTATTGAGATACTAGACGGCTAATAAAAACTGCTAATTGGAGTTCTAAATATTTCCAACAATGCTGAAGTTCCTTGTCTTAAGGGATCAAATTACAAATTTGTAAGCATGATAACTTAGCAGATTATCATTTCACCATGGAAGAATTAGAAGCCTGTTTCAAAGTTTTATTAATTCAAGTAATAAAAAAGTTACAGCAACTTCAAATATGTACAAACTGCCATAAAAACGCTGTGTTCAGTTACACAGGAGACAATCTTATTATAACATGGCTACAAAATCATTACTTTCAATAGAACTCCCGAGGGTAAAATAACCATTTAGGCATGTATGCTCCAAAACCCTAGTAACAGCAGTTGTCAACTCGTTTCATCATCACAGAAAAATAAAATCAGGGAGCAATAGTTAAGTTTTACTTGAGTAAGATGGTGCATTTAACTCTCAACAAATAGTAAAAGTAGTTGAACAGTTATCAGTCTTGGTTGTTAAGAGTTTTAACAATCATTAAGTGAGCACAATTGCCTCCTTTTCAGGAGGAAACTTGTAAGAGTTAAGATTCATGCCTCCAATGTTTTCGTTGTCTTCATGCTTGAATGTGGCTTGTCTTCAGTTGATTTAACTAGGCATTCAGTCCTCTATGCATTTCATTCATTTCCTTCACCTGGAGGGGGAGGTAGAGGGAGATTAACGTCTGTGCTACTTCTAAACTTTAAAACGCAATAAATCATTAGGACTTAACAGCTCAGATTTTCATTAGCGAATGGATTTGACTCAGAACCAACCATGACGAACCCACCAGATTAAAAAAATAAAAAAGCACTACTTAGGATACATGCAGGAAGCAGACAATACTATTTAGCTCCAACATTGTTTGGATTCCTACACAAAAGGCTCCACACTTGGCGTGAAGCACCATTTGCTATTCCATTGGAAAGCAGCTCTTCAATGGAAATTGCAAGATTCATGCAAATACCTCAGTAAAGGTATTTGTTCATCACAGAACAAGACTATCAGCACATCCTGTGGATTGCACAGCCCTTTGCTATACATATGTAAAACAGAATTTGCAGTAAAGCCAAACCCCACCCCCTCAGCCCTGGGAAAAGCAGCAGATCATCAGTTACCTTTGAAACTGGTGCAGAACTACACAGAGGTGAAAACTAGCTACAGAATTTGAATACTTTAAGCCTCCTCAAACACATCTGAAGCACCCAAAACAACTTTTAACCTAAGCAAATGTAGGAGTTTCTAGATTCCTGGTCAACCTCCCCCCCACACATGCACCACAAATAGAAATTAATTACCTCAGCTTTCACGTACTTCCCTTTCCTCCTCCTTGTGAGGACCTGTAAGAGAAGGATGCAATATTTTTTAAGTCTTGATACACAAGTAACTTATCTGGTTTTAACTTTAAAAAACACAAAACTTGAAGCTGTCTGTTTCCCATCCTTCCAAAGTGAGGTAGGTACAACCAAGGCTGTCACACTCAACTACTTTAAAACAGGAAGCACTTGGTTAACCTCTGTGAATCGTTCCCAGTACTTGTTTTCCGGGTGACATCCTTCAGTTGTAACCTGAAACAGTGACAGTGTACCTACCACCAATTTCCCACCTCCCAAGTCTGAAGAAGCCAATTTACAAAGGAAGACTTTCCATCAGAGTCCACACATGTATGCTGTTACTTCCCAAATTGTACCAGTACCGTTCTGTTTGGCAGCTTTGTTAGAACTTACCAGAACAACGATTGCAGCCACTATTGCAATTACTACCACTACAATGACAGCAATAAGCCCAGGAGTCAGAGACTTCATGGAAAACTCTGGTGCTATTTCATCAACATAGTAGACCACTGTCTTCTCAAGCTTCACTGGTTCGTTGTCAATGCTGACATTGAGCCCAGCATTATTATGAAAGATGGATTGACCTTTTACCTAAAACAGATAGGAAAAGAGAGACTTGTTAGTTCACATTGTAGCAGGCATTTATCTTGTCACAAGAGTAATTCACTCTGCTTTATTAGGCAGTACACAGCCAGACTCCCGAGTGCAGTGCAAGACACGCACCCAGCCTCTAGTAGACTTTACCCGTGACACACTTACATCTTTTTCAAAGTAGTAGGCCACATCAGCTATATCCACATCTCCGAATGATTTGTCAGAGGCATTTTGCTTCAAATCAATAGTAATGTAAGGGTTTTCATACTGCAAGAAAAAAATAGTACGGTATTAAGAAGGAGGTACTTTAAATCCAGCTATCAAATATTCACCAAAACGTTATGATCCAGTTTGTGAACTTGCATCCTGGATCAAGTTTATGGTTCTTGAACTCAAGCCAACTATTTACAGTAGGATTCAAATTCCACTTTTTAAGTGAAGCAAAGAAGTTACCTACAGACTAAGGAGAGTGTAGTTTCTCAGCATTTCTGTTTAGCCATTTGCTGACTGCTCACTATTTTGAGAGCTTCTACTAGAATTAATGCTGTATTACATCAGTCAAATACGAGTTTTTTAAGTTACTCACAAAAAAATGAAGTTCTGATACTTTACTAAACTTTATGTGCCTCTTACCAGAACACTGGCTATATAGCGGCCATTCAGCTGATAACGACTGGTAATGGTATCTGTGAAAAACCTGCAAGAATATGAAAGCCATGGCTGTAAAAACAGTATTATTTCACATGAAGCATTTGAGAAGTAGAGAAGAATGGTGTAATTGTTTTCTTCTGCAGTCTCTGTGGTGGGTGGACCTCACCTAGCAGCTAAACCCTCACCTAGTCTTTCACTCACTTCCCCCTAGCAGGATTGGGAAAAGAATCACAAGGGCAAAAGCAAAGAAAAAAACCAACAACCCCCATTGGGGTTAAAATAAGACGGGAAGTGAAAGGGCTGGGTGGGGGAAATATAAAACCTCAAGTGATGTAAGTGCAGTCAGTCATCACTGACAGATCAATGTCCAGCCAACCTCTGAGCAATGGCTACTCGGGAAAAAACTTTCCCCCAAATCTACTGCTGAACATGACACCATACAATATGCACTATCTGTTCAGTCAATTCAGGTCAGCCCTGTCCCCTTCCCAGCCTTTTGCCCATCCCCAGCCAACTCATTGGGGCAGCAGAGCGAGGGTCTGAGAAGGCCCTTACATTATGTAAGCACTGTTAGCAGCAGCTAAAACACTGGTGGGTTTACCAGCACCTTTTTGGTCACTGGTCTAAAATGTAGCAGCACACCAACTGCTACCAAGAAAATTTAAATTCTGCCCCAACCAAACCCAGTGCACTCTTCATACTGGAGTTCAATTGAACTCCTAACAGTGAAGATGCACTTACTGTAAAATAAACACCTGTGTTAGACAAAAGAGCTTTACCAGTTTGAAGAACTCAGAGGAACAGCTAGAGGGTAGCAGCTTTTGTTCTGGAAAGGAGGTGATCTAATAACTACAACTAGCATTTTGTTTCAATAAAATGAAGAAAAAATAAAAAAAAAAGCTAAACTCTTATTTTCCTCCTGCTATTTCTATGTAGTCCTTCTGCCATTTTTGTCAGTTTACTTTCTGAACGGTTTCATCATTCATTAACTTCCATTTCTTTTAGCATATTGATTTGAGGGGGGGAAAAAAACCCTAGCAAACAATTTTAAATGGAACTTGTTTCCAACACAAATTAAAGCAATTCTATGAAGGATCAGCAGCTCACTTCTAAGATGTCTTAAAAATGAGTTCACAGGTCTGACGATGCTTTTAGCGACTGTTTAGGAATATGCTAGATATTTAGTAGGACATGCATACACAACCGTGACATATTACTATCATCACTTACTTCTTTAAAGATTCAGCATTCAGAGGAGCATCTCTCTCAGCATGTTTCATTTCAATAATGATCCACCTGAAGTACAATGAATATTCTTGAAATACAGACATATAAAACATACCAAAACAATCTAACCCCAGGCTAAAAAAACAGAACAATGAGACAAAACCCAAGGCAAGCAAAGTCTCTTCCAAACCCATTCAATGCCTCCTCGTTTCTGAAGAAAAAACCCAGCAGTAACTAAGTGTTGATTGCTCCATCTTCATTCATCTCCAGTGCATCATTCACACAAGGCAGAGCCTCATACAGGAATGTTTTCATGTCACAGCACACCCTGTTGAAAGACTTACATTGTTCTGACTAATTGATTGCACTTCAAGTCTGTATCATGTTTGTCAGTTCTTCTGACTCCAGCTGTATTCACACACCAACAAGTGGTTCCATTGCACTGCTTTGCCTTGAAAGCACCACTGTTTTCACACTCGGGATCATAGAGGCCATCGGTATCTTCAAATGCATCTTTTGGTTTCTCACGACGACCCGACTTTGAGCCCATCACTTCTGCTTTCATTAGCAGGCATTTTGAAGTCACTAAAAATAACCAGAAAGTCGCGTTAAGCAGCATCAGACCACGCATGTCCAAAACAGAGTTTTAAGTCCATACAAACAAAAGGTTACATCAGCGGCAGCTAGATTCGAAGCCATTACAAGGAAGAACAGATGTCTAATGTGTAGGTGGTGCATAAAATCAATACAACTGGGGTATGTCAGCCTCTCAAGGCAAAGGCCTAATAAGCCCAGCATTTGGATTTACAGCTTCCATTTCTCACAGCTAGAGGCTTGCTTACAGTTTATCTGAGCTTGAACCCACAGTGAAGTCTTGTCACAAGGCTCTTTTCCCCTTTAGATTGGCATGAAAAGTGAGGATATGTGCTTGCAAGGAAGCTAAACATGCATCTTCAAAAAATTCTTGCCACTGGAGAACAAATATTGAGGAGGAGACGTGAGCCTACATCAGTACAAGCAGAGAAACCCTGAACGTTTATCTTCCAACACCGGTTGACCTAGAAGACCAGGAAGAAGAACTCCTTCCTTGCCTCCATTATTTGCTGGGAGCTCAAATTCTCACATAATCCCCGGCGCTCTGCGGGCGCGTTTCCGTGCCACCCACACGGCCGTGCCCTTTTACTCACGGGTGGTGCAGTCCACGGTGACACCGGAGCCGATGGCGTCGCAGCGGCACTGGCCGTTCTCCAGCCTGCAGTTGGTAACACGCTTGTTCTTCTCGCAGACACACGCTGCAAGAGAAGCGCGGCCGTGAGCCAGGGCACAGCGGGGCAGGGAGCCGGGCACGGAGCCGGGCACCGAGGGACCAGCAGCGCCCGCGCTCCGCCGCCAGCCAGGACGGACAAAGCCGCCCCTCGCCGGCCGGGCAGGGCGTGCCCGCATCCCCCGCTTCCCCCCCGGCCACCCGTCCTCCCTCTCTTGCTTCCCAAGCGCCGAGGCTCCCCTCGGGGCGCGGACAAAGGGGCGCTGTTGGGGCCGGGCGCTCCTGCCCCCTCCACTGGGGGAGAATGGTGTCGCCATTTGGCGACACAGGGCGCTCAGCGGAGCGGCCCTTTGGAGAGCGGAGGGCGTCCTGGGGCGGGGGAGCTTGGCCAGGAGCTCCGCGGACAGAGGGGTGCGGGCACTCACAGCTCTGGGCGGAGACGGCGGCGCAGAACAGCAGCAACAGGAGCGCAGCCCCGCAGAGCGGCTTCATGGCTGGGGCGGGCGGCGGGAGCGGAAAGGCCGCGGGAAATCCTCGGGGACGCGGGCAGAGAGGGACCGGTGTGTGCGCGGCAGCGGCGGCGGAGCGGTGTGAGCCGCCCGACAGGTTCCGCAGGTGGTGGTGGGTGCGCCGCGCCCTCCCGGCTCCGGTTACACCTGGGACGCGCGGGGGGAGCGGCGGTGGCGGCAGCGGCTCCTCCCCCGGGCCCGCCGGGCGCGCTCTTAAACCAGCGCCGCGCCCGCCTCCCCCCGCACCTGGGCGAAACTGGATGGCAGGGCGGGACCCGCTCCCGGCCCGGCCCCAACAGCGCCTCTCCTGCGGAATGGGGAGGGGGAGCGGCCGTGAGAGAGGCGTTCTGAGGCGCGGCCGTGCCCGCTCTTTACCGGGGCTGTGAAACCACCCCGCCTGGGCGGAGGGGCCATCGGGGGAGCCGGGGGACCGCTGCCCCCGCCGTCGAAGGGAAGGGAAAGTGTTAGTCATCGCCGGGAGCTCCCGGCGTGTTTGCCCTGTGATACACGGGCATAGCGAGCAGAGCCCACGTCCCTCCCGGCTCCGGGCTTCCCGTGCCTGCCGCTGACCGTCGGAGCCCCGGGGCAGCCCTGCGGTCTTTGCCCTGGCCTGGTGGCCCCGGGCTGTTCCCTAGGGACAGGCGGGAGGTGTTTCCACTCCCCTCTCGGCGAGCCGAGAGCAAGCAGGAAATACTCGCACTTTATAGCGAGCTTTGTTCGCATCCAGGGGTGCCGTGTGAACTACTCCGTGCTTGACATAAAATCTGATAATTACTCAGTAATTGAAAAAAATAAACTCTAATCTGTATAGAACGAACACTTTAGTAAGGGTGTTTATTGATTATGTGTTTTTGTTTTATTTTCGGTTTTGGTTCCTTTCTAGAATACATAGTAGATGTCTCTACCTCGAGGTTGCCCTGAAGATACGCTCCTGGTGCTGCAGTATCCTCATTTCTTCGATGAGGAAAAAGTAGTTCTCAGTGCTTTGTCTCTAAGCAGCACAGCTCTGTGGGAACCTACAAAATGGGAGATAGTGCCAGAGCCCTGCCAGGTTTCCGAGGAGGAAACACGGGAAAGCCGGCTTTAAGATGGCTTTCCAAAGTGTAAACGCCATGACAAAATGGAAGACAAAAGATAGGTATGGTACACCAGCAATGCTTCGTGAACCTTGAGTTTATTTATTCAGTTAAAAAATATGCATGAAAAACAAGTTGTTTTAGTACAGGATAAAACCAGAATAACATTCTACCCAAAAACTTGAAGCTTCCTCTTACCTGTTTGGTGTACAATAAAAACATGTTTCTTCTTTTGCTCATGTAGACGTCAGTAAGTGAAACGGTTTGAAAATTTTGCATGTTGGAAGTGAAACTGCAGGTGAACTACTTTTAGTGTCTGTGCAGCTGTGTTTGTGTTGTACTTGGTTTTGTATGTTGTTTTTGTCTTCAGTGCCCTGCTGCTGTCTCAGATAGGTCCAAAATAAAGGACTGCTCTTTGGATTTGCTCTTGGTACAGCCTGAATCAGAGTTTTGCACCATTTATCTTGATCCTTTTTGTGGTTTTGCATGTTTTCTGATTGCTAAGTATATTCTTCTGCTATGCTTATCAAAGACTCAAAAGGAAAGATTGGCCTAGCAAATGAAAACTTGGGAGGATTAAAGTCTCAAATATGGACTTCTTGCATTGCTATCATTGGTTGATAGCATTTTCCATAAAGATGTGTAGGATCAATAAGTTCAGAAATGCCTACGTTACTATAAACCTCTTATTCCATGTTAAAGTACTGGTTTCCTTGAGATTGTAAGAGCTGTCTTGTCATTATCAAATTGCCAAGCTGACCTATGTAAGCCTTGATAATAAGGACCAATAAATTTTATTATAGGCTTTTGCCTCTATTTTATTTATTTGTTTTTTTAATACGTAAATGTCGAAGAACAGAACAGCCTGAGTACAGCTAGTCCTCCTTCTTCTCCTGATCCTTGTTCTGTGTAGGTAAACATCTCTGCCTAGTTTTATAAATCCAAGCAGTCTTGAAATCTTGGAATGACTACTGCTGAAAGTTGCCCTGCTTCTTTCTTTCACCTTCAAATACCATATAGGTATCTTTGTTGTCAAAAAATAGATATAACTCTTAGTATCTAGTGGCTGAATGGTCTTGGAGTATTTGTGTGGACTAGAGCCTCTCACAATGTATTTTGGCACTCTTGTGACAGGTAGCAATATGTGAGTTAGCACCTGTAGAAAGTACTATGGTAACTCTGCTACAAATATAGGTGCATCATGCTTCTTTTTGTAACATAGCATTTAATTTGGCTCCAGTTTGCAGGGACCAATAAGGACCGTGCTACCTCTGGTCTCGCCAGATTTCTAAATGTGAAGAAATTATGGTTTAAATGTTGTTTCGTATTTTTGAAGGAGAGTTGCTCTACGTGAGGTCATTCACCAGCAAGGCAATGGAAATGAGGGACCATTCACAGCAGAGTTAATCTTATCCTCTTTCCAGGTTATTTTGAGGACAGCGTCTCAATAGAATCAATGCCAGTGGAGCAGACATGAGGCTAAACAAGTACAAGGACCTGAGTGTTGAAGTTTACTACACGGGTACCTTGGTGTCTGGGCGGTTGGGAGGCAGTGTCATTTTTGTACCTTTTGTGGTGCTTGTACTTCTTTGTGCTGAAATATGTGACCATATTCAATTGCTATTCTATATTAACTTTACTCAGCACATAGCTCTTAAAGCTAAGGCCTTGCATGTTGGTTATAAACAGGATGATTTTATCGGCTGTTGGAGATACCTCCTCTTATCAAATAGCTGACTGCTGATTAGGCAGTGCAGTGTAGGCTAGTTGTGGTTTACTCTTATTGAAGCATAATTATAGCTCAGACAAATGATAATTTAAATGCTACGAGCACATTACTGGCTCTACTATATAGCAAAAAGAAAAAAGTTTTGGTCACCAAACTCTATGTACATAAGGTATGTAAACTTACACATTAGGAAAACTCACGTGATCTGTATTTTTCTACTTTTGCTCTGTAATTTATGTCGGATCCAGATCTGTTTGGAGAATGAAGTATTGGTTCACTAAAATACTCAAGAGGCACTGATTCTAGGGGGAGATTTTCTATTGACTTGAGTGAATTGTGAATCAGATCCAAGGAGATTAATCCAGCTCTTTCTGCAGCCAGTAAGAAATTGTGTGATACTGGGATATGACATGAGGTCATTTCCAGGTCTCCACTAGAAATCAGGTAAGTGGGCTTTTGAAACTCCCCAGGCACGGAAAAGCGACAGAAGCTGCTTTCAGGGAAAGTCGCAAGGATGTGTGAGTCACTCCCGAAGTATCAGGAAACGATGCAAGGTGGGGCTGTGACATGCACTGTGGTCAGCAGATCAGAGAGATGAGAGGAGAGAGCATGATCAATGCCACTGGGTGTTTGGCAATCTCGGTCTAATTGAGATTATTTGGAGGCTGAAAACCTGATTGGGTTTGGGTGTACCCTTCTAAAGATAACCAGAGTCTCATCCCTAGAAAATGGGTCGTCTATCATACCAAATTGTGAAGCATAGTCTTATTAGTCTTTCTCTAACAAAATTAATGGCTTTTGAAAATTCGTTATATTTAACTGGTTAAGGCTGACAAAGATAGAAACAATCAGAAACACTGATGCTCAGAAGTGCCGACATTTTGGGTAGCAGATATTGCTACGTTTATCATTATATTATAGACTTGCTCAGGAACTTTTTGTTAGGACAGCTTAAGAATGTTTGCATTCAATTTTTTTTTTGTCAGACTTCATAATCTGTGTAGAATGAAACCTTGAAAGAACTGTAGGAAGAGGACAATATTGAGAAATTATGTACAGTACCTTGTCCATAATGTGTTTCAGAAGATCCTATGTTGTCACAAATAGACACATGCTGCTGCTCAAAGGACTGTAATAAAACTAGTGCTTCTGTGTATTTTTCCTGCCAGTTTGAAAACCACCAGAAAACAGGTAAGTCCTGTTGCACTGATTTGAATAATGAGAACATTTGGAGTCCTGGAGAACTTAAGTATCTTGGCCATATGGAGGTGGTCAAGTATAGAGCCAATAAGAAAATAAATGAGCAGTCATGCCTTTCTGCTAGACTAACTACTGTAAAAAACACTTTTAAAAATCTATTTTACATGTTTGGGTCTTTTTGGTCTGTTCCTAGATCATGACTTGTTTTTTTGATAACACAGTGTTTGTGCATTTTGACAAAACTGTCATGCACACTGAAGATGGAAATCAGTTCAGAGGCAGTGGCAACCCTCACAAAGCTGTCTTTGGCTTCAGAAGCCCACAGCTTGGGTCTCTAGCAGGTTGGAGACCTTTGAAAGTAAGAGTAGCTACTAAGAGGTACAGGGCTGTTGGTTCAGACGTTCATAAAACTAGACAGGGTGTAGCCACAGAAGAGAAATGCTCATGCAATTAATGTATGTTCTATTTGTGTCTTTGAGGATTATAGAAACCAACCTGTCTGATACGTTGAGGCATCCTCACCTCCCTGCCAGGGCTTAGTCTTAACTCCAGAGGGTGGGGCCAGTAACAGGTTTGTCACCCTCATCTTTACGTACCTGAAAATGCATTTCCATGGCTCTCACACCGACAGCATCTTTGGAGCATCAGCATTCAAAGCTGATAAAATAAACAGCATTATGTGTAAAAACTGTAATAACTCCTCATCCAGACTACTGCACAGCAGCGACGCAAACCTAATTTCAAACTGCTCCAAATCCCTCAAGTTTATAGCATTTGGAACGGGCTCAGAGGAAAACAGGAGATCATAAGTTGTAGTAAAAGCTCTGTTTACATTAAAATTGTTTCAGTTTTGGCATTTAAGATACTTTATCCCCCCACCCCCCCTTTTAGTCATTCTCTGTGAAAGAAGATACAGGCAGAACTTTGTCATAACACTTGTTGAAAACTGTTTGAGAGAGTCCTAAGTAGTTTTTAACAGCCTTGATTGTGTGACAACCTCTCTGGGCTGTAGGCAGAACTGGAGCAGATGGTTATACAGACAGAGACTTGTCCTTCCTCTTAGTGTGTTGTTATCAGAAGGCACAATGAGTACCTCTGTCATAAAACCTGTCGTTGAATTTGCTTGTGCTGGACTTGTGCAGGTTGCTATGGTGCTGGTGAGCAGTGTGGATTTATGGTTTGTAACCCCCAGTAACAACCCACGGACACGGGTGTACCTGGCAGTGAGCAGAAGCCATGTATTCCTCAACGAAAACAGGGTCACAGTATGCACACAGCATGCAGTTTCCAGGGAGCAGTTAACGTGCTGTAAATCCCCACCCACTCTTGCCTCATTCTAATTTGTGTGCATAGTCATACCCCAAGCAAAGGTGAATAAATACACCCATGAGCTGGGCAGAAAATCTCATCCCACAAACACTGACACAACCGACAGCAGAGAGTAGGGTTAAAAGAGCTGGGCTTGCCATTAGTGTTTTGCTTTTTTTTGTCCCTTGCTGAAATAAATTGTTTTTGTGTTGTGACTACTTTTACAGTTCATGAGTTTCCCTTTTTTTCCAGTTAGCAATAGCTGTTACCAAAGTTCATCTCTTTCTCTTCGTACTTTAATTTACAGCCCTTGTACTAGTCATTTTATTGCTTCAAACTCTGAGTGAGAGAACTTTTACAACTTGTGATTACTGAACTTGGTGAAACAAGAAAGCTTTTTGACCTGTTGTGGAGTAATTATGGAATCCATTGCTTGTAGGGAAGGGCATTCAATGTTTAACAAACTGTCGCAATTCTAATTTAACTGTGTGGAGCCCGGACCATTGGATGGGAGTTAAAAAAAGTAAATCCTGGACTTTTTCCAGGTCACATTTTAACTTGTCTGGTTTTAATCTCTAAAGGGCTGTCCTTGAAGTTCTGCCTTCCCACTACTGAACTTGATGCTGCTCCTTTCCTAGCAGTACAAGAGCATGGGTGCCAAATTATTTGCATGTGAAAACAATATCCTCTTGCTTCAGAAATTATAGCTACATTACTTTTGATTAATCCTTTCATGAAGTGAGTCTTCTGAATGCCATTCAAATATGGCTCTTGACAACAGAAAAATTGTCCTGTCTTAATTACCACTATTGTTTTATATTATAGGGGCTGTGGTCATGGACAAAGATTCAACTGTGTTCAACAGTGTAAAAACAGAGAATAAATAGATACTGTTTTTAAAAGAGTTTGGACATGAATTTTGTGACCAGTAAACTTTGAAAATAAGATGAGAAAGATTTGGTGAAATTTACACTTTTTGCCCAGTTATAGAATCATAAGCCAGCTAGCTAAAAGTTTGAAGGCTCCCACCTATTCTTTTGCAGCTCAAACAGCTATTATTTCGGAAACTTGCCTTCAGGAAAAGAATTTCAAAATGTTATTTTGAAAGCACCAATGTTTTTCTACTTTTGATGTTAATAGGTAATAAGATATATTTCCTGGATAATAGGTTCCTTGGATGTTTTGTAGTTTAGTGTATTAATGTGTACGTAAACCTTACATCAGTGATGCAAAGCATTTGTGTCATTTGCCAGATGGAATGAAACACTTTTTAGCTAATGCCATTTTGTACAAATGATTTCTTAAGTCAAATTCTTGAAACTTTCTATGTTCAGCTACATTTTCACCTGGAAGATTTTTGAAGTCTGGCGTTTGTTAGTTGTTTCTGAGGGAAAAGAGGAGCAAAAGAAAAGGGGGAAAGTTCCCATTTTCAGTGTGAACGTAGGCAATGCAGTCCCATTTGCGCATGCACAGCACACGGGCAGCGCCCTGGGCACAGTTGCACACACCTGCTCCTTGCTCCTGCACCTGCCTCTCGGGAAGCCTGCTGCTCTTGGCGTCTGGAACAAATGGCTCCAGGGCCATGGAGGTAGAGAGGAGTCCTGTTTATTAGGGTTCTTATTATTCAATTCAGCATGAAGAAACGGCATGGGCACAACTGGGTAACAAATATAGCCATGGTTATTAAATACTTGCAAATCCAAAATGCAGTCTTCAGTGGTTAAAAGAGACTTAGAATATGGTGGATGATGTCAGAAAGTTCAAAAAACACTTAAAGGAGAACACTGCAGATAATGTCCTTTCCCTTTAATGTAAAATATGCACAGCTAGTTTTGAGTTACTGATGTTGAGAGATCATTCATCTTTTGTGACATAATGGTGAAGACCTAATGTAGTCTATCTCATCTATTTATTTTTACAGAGAAATAGGAACTCTTCAGATAAGACTACTTTGTTTGCTTTACAATCAGCACACAGGTGCCAATCCTTAAAAATAAATCTTAAAGGCTTCCCCTGTCTGCTTTGAATTAGTTAAGTTCATACAGGATATATCAGTCTATTTACAGTAAGAATGAACAAGTTCAAACTTATGTCCCAGGTGTTTTATGGAGATTTGTTGCTGCAGAGTGCATGGCTGTTTTGAAGTATGCAAGAGCAGCATGTTTAAACATGCACTGGGCTTGCTGGCAGCCTCCCCTTTCCTTTTCCATTTGCTCTGTTAGTCTAGTCACTACACTTCTTGTTCACTACATAATTTCCAAATAATTTTTTCCTTCTTGCTCCTGAATTTCTCAGTACCGGAGAATAACTACAGCTGTTCTGCAACTTAAATATTAGAAAACACTGCTGTATGGACCAGCGTTCTTTTCAAGGAAACAAAGCTGGAAACAATTTTCCTGCCCATTCATCCATCAGTGACATGCACTTAAGCGGCACTGAACCTTTTTTAATTTTAATCATACTGTAACATTTGTCAAAAGCAAGGATTAAATGCAAGGCACCTTTCCATTATCCTTGCTTACTACTCCAGTAGCAAACTGGAAAACTGTGTTCAGCCTGTTATGCTCAGTCCTAGTCCAGGCACTGTGATGCCCTAATAATTCGTTTCACACAACTCATCTAAATTCTTACTCTCTCTCTCTTCCCACATATAAAACAGGTTTCTGGTGACAGATGTGGGTTCAGGTGATTCATCTGTTCCTCTTTAGTTTAGTCCTGTGACTTGCTACACCCTTTACTCTGAAAGAATTAGCTTTATGTCCAAGGCTTATTTTTTTTAGATGTTTCATGTTTCAGTTTCGCTATGGGTCTTTAGGAATGGAGCTCTCAGTCCATGAGCTTTTCTTTTAGAATGGATTTGATTGAGAGGTCAGGTTCTCCCAGCAGGGTCAGCAGTCATCTTTACAGGGAAGAGAGAGTTTTTTTCCTATTTCACTCTCTGCAGGAAGTAGGAAAAGTCTCTAACTGAAAAGTACATATTTTATTGGGGATAATGATCTGTATTTACAAGAATCAATGGTGGTTCTTCATGGCTTTATTTGGAAAGAAATATCAGGTGTTTTACCTGTGGCACTTTATCTTTCTTAGGCAAAAAAAAAAAAAAATCACTGGATAGGATATCAGGAGCCGAAATATATATCGAAATAATATAATTTGATACCGAAAATATAAAAATCTGAAAAATAAGTATGTATATCCTACATAATCCTAAATGTAATTTACAAAAATACTCTTTCTGTGTTTTTCTTCAGTGATGCTTCTTAATCTATCTGTAAACAACTCCTTCAGTGAAAAATTTTAAGTATTTTTTTTTCATTTAAGGGAATCAAACTGCTCTGCAGCTGCCTTTTTGGACCAAATTCAGCATAGCAATATAACTATATATCTCATATAATTGAGTTCCAATGTGTATATGGATTTCCCCCCCCCCCAGAAATAAGATTTTGTAAGAATCCCAGGTATTTCAAGCCCAGGTCTTAGTAATTTTATTCATATAAATCTTATATAAAATAATAAAATATAGACATTGTATTTATATTTATATTTATATTTATATTTATATTTATATTTATATTTATATTTATATTTATATTTATATTTATATTTATATACTTATAAATTTGTATATTCAAAATGTAAGTTAAAACGGTGATTACATATAGAGATGAAGAGTGGCTAAACTGATTTAATGACCACCTACAGGAAGGGTTAGGAAAGAACTGCAACATGAAACCCCGTGTGTTATGCTGGACAAATGCTGCATTGTCTCGGTTCAAATCGCTGGTGGTGAAACAGCGCTCCCTGATGTCCAGCAAGCGACTTTGGAGTCCAAAAGCTCCATTCGTCTCGAAAATTCTTGGTTCAACAACCTTCTGAAAATTGTAGTTAACTAAAAGAAAAGTTGAGAACCAGTTAATTGCACTATCTCATGCAGAGACTTAGAGTCACGTAAAATTCTGTTTCTTTATTCTCACTGGGTTCAGAGATCAGCTTTTCCATGTTGATGTTTTTCCATGATGCTTTCACGTTGAATTCTCGAGTCATTCCCATGTCGGTCCTACCTCAGGCTGCAGAGTCCTGCAAGGAAAGAAAGGCAGAGTTCCAGACATTCCCACAGCTCTCTCTCGCAAGTTCCGTTTCCTCAAGAGCCTGATCCAATCTTGTGCAAGGGTCTGAATCAGAGCAGACATCTCAGTTCTGGCAGGCTGGGGACAATACATGAGTGGAAGAGTCACAATACCTGTTCAATAACTTGATTGTGACAGATTTTTGAGTAAAAAAAGAAGTCTTTTAATATTTTGTTGCAGAACCACCAGCCCGAAAATTATTTTAGAATTGGGAGACCACTGGAAGCTTTGTGTGGATAAAGATTGACATTGTAAGTCACATTTTATGTAAAGGTGTAAAGAATAAGGAAGTATGCATGTCACAATTCTCGTTGCAGCTTCATGTTTTGCAGTAGGGGAAAAAAAGGATTTTTTCCTGGTCCTAAAGATTTAGATAGTTATGTGGAAGTTTCTGTAACCCCCCTTTCCTCTGTTTTCCACAGGTATCAAATTAACAGTAGTTAATTGATGAGTATTTTGAATTCCTTAGATGAAAAGTGATCTGCAAAACCAGAGAACAATTAATGCAGGATAATTCACTGTAAATCAGTGTCCAAGAAGAGAGAACCTCAAAAGAACAGACTTTTGCCCTACCGATGTATTTGGTATTATCTCCTCCTTGCTGTCAAGTTTTCTGATTTCAGCCTGTTTCATACAGATATGTTGTTAGTTGGTACATTTACCATTTGGTATGTTTTTTATCTCTCCCTGATCAGAAACTTGGCATGATCTTTCCCTGAATATCCCAGAGCATGTAAATAATTTAGCAAATTATTAATAGCAGATGAGGAAGGTGTAGAGAGGCCTCTCTTCTCATTACCATAACAAATGAGGCCAGTTACAGTTTAATTGGCCTGCACAGGGGGAAACAATGAAAATGGATGTCTTGCCATCTTCCTAGGATAAATCTTTAGCTCTTCTAAGAAAAGGCAACAGTAAGATTTCACACTGAATCTTAGTAGCAAAGGGATTTTTAAATTCTTCTTACATTTCAATAGACTGGCTCAGACTAAGTGCACACTACTACCTGCATTAACTGCCTCTGTAGAAAGGCAGCAGCAGTGTATCCTGTACCTCTATGTTTAATGATCTGTAGAGTCAGGTATCCCTTCTCCTTCGAGTTCTGTGTCTCCTGTGGAGATATTTATCACCCTGAGGAGATGTTTTTGTCATAGAATGATTTGGGTTTGACGGGGCCCTTAAAGATCATGTCGTTCCATTGGGCTGGGTGGGACACCTCCCACTAGACCAGGCTGCTCAGAGCCCCATCCAACCTGGCCTTGAACACTTCCAGGGATGGGGCATCCACAGCTTCTCTGGGCAACCTTTGCCTTGTCACCACTCCCACAGTAAAGAATTTCTGCCTAACATCTAATTCAAGCCTACTGTCAAATAGGATCCATTCCCCCTTACTGTGTCCATGGATGGATGGATGGCAGGGACAGAGAGGCCCAAGCCAACCTCGACCCTGCCTCAAGGTGGCGAGGCGAGCAAGAGGCGGTGCCGCCAAGCCCAGCGCCCGCCGCGCCCCCGCTCCCATTGGCTGCCGCGCCCTGGGCGGCAACAGGAGGGGCGGGAGGAGAGGGCACCCGGCCGTCCGATTGGCTGGAGCGGCTGCTCCGCGCATGCTGATTGGCTGCGAGAGACGCCACTCGAGCGGAGGCGCGAGGCGCGGAGGCAGCTGAGGGCGGCGGGCACGGGCGGCTTGGGCGCGGGGCGGCGAGGTCGCAGGCTCGCCTCAGGGGCCTCCGTGTTCCTGCCGGGCCGCCCGTGAGCTGCGGGGCCACGTAGGTTGCGGTGAGCCAGCCTCCCTCCGAGAGACCTACTGGAGGCGTAAATACATTTAATCCCGGCAAAAAAACACCCTTCCTCACTCTCCATTTGATATCCCTTTAAATTTTGCGGTTACAAACACCACAGGTACGTTTCCTTGGTTGTGCCTTCAGGGTATGTTCAGTTTGAGGGATAAGTTTAATTCCCAAAGGCAATTAGGAACTCAAGACTTGATTTTAATGTTACATGGCTCTATCACAGTTCTGCTGCGTTAATTCTATTAATATTCCTTTTAAAAAAAGACCATCACAAATTGGAGGGAAGAACACAGGAGTTTTTTTTGGTAGATCTAACTGTGTGGAGCTACAAGGACCTGACAAACAGCAACTTTTCCTAAAAGACTCTTTTCCCATTTTCCAAAGTTGACTGGAAAAAGCAAAATTGAAGGCTCCTTCTACTGGGGAAAAGGAAAGCTTTATAAAATTAGAACTAGATCAAAGAACTCTACGTATCTTAGGGCACAAGACTTAGATAGATAATCAGTATTGATAAAATTAATTTTCCATCATCTGACATACAAGCTCTACTGAAACATTTCATGAGAACAAAAGAAATGTACTAGTGCTGAAACTGACTATTTTTGTAGTTAATTTCTTCTTATTTTTTTAACAGGAACCTTTGCTTAACGAAATGAAACACAATCTGGTGTGTCAGACACCTCCCACTGTCACTGTTCATGTAAAATCGAGTGCATCCAGATCACATCAGCAAAAAAAACTTGCTAGACTAAAGCGACCTGCTTTTAAAGACCATCAAGAAAATTGTGAAAAAGGGGTTCCTAGTCAGAAATATAAATGTCCCAAGGGACCATGTCTAGTTATTCAGCGTCAGGAAATGACAGCTTTCTTTAAATTATTTGGTAGGTTAATAATGTGAGATATGAATGAATTGAATAGAATGAATAGAATGTTTTCTAAGCTCAGTAATTTTGAGAGTGCTTTTTATACCAAAACTAATGGCAATTCTTTATCAAAATGTTTGGTTGTTGTATTTTGGTATATAAATATTTAATGCTTAAGTTAAAAGTACAGGGGCTACCAAACTGATGAAAAATATCTTTTTTTAAATTACAAGTGAAACCAAGGTGGTTTGCTACTATTTATTTTATGATAATTTTCCTTCCTATTTTCTCTTATATTTTAACAAATACATGTAAAACAACGTGCATCTTGTTTTACACAGGGCCTAGAAAAAGGACTCCTTGTCTCTTAAACTGTTATTTACTGTGGGAATAAACTCCTGGGGGGAGAAGTGGAATGGGAAGTTGATCTAAGGAGTTAGAACATCTCTTCATGTCTCTTTCATATAAAGTTTTGTATTTATTTAATTTAGTAAAGACTTTAAGTAATAGTGGAAGATTACAGCTGGTTTTTATTTGACCCTTAAATACAGCAGTGAATGAGAGAGAGTTTGTGGTAATTACGGTACATGGTCCTGGACAATGGAACACTCACCAAAAATAAGCAAGTATTGCCCTATAAAGGCTGCCAGGTAATCAAGGTGCAGGATCTCAGCAGTCTGTAGTTCCTCTGAAATAATGGTATGCTATCACCTGGAAGCATGTAATGCAGGAAGAAATAATGCAAATGGAAAAAAAAAAATACTGGTAACCTGCTGTTACTGAGAATGGATGAAATGCAGTCAACAGATTTTCCACCTTGCCTTTCTGGTAGTTTGTTTCTTTTATCATGTACGCTTTTTTTACACCTGACCTCTCCTCCTGCCTCAATTTCTCTCTTCCCTACTAGTGGGTCTAGCTTCTTTGCTTTTATTTGGTTTAATGAAAGACCGTCTGTTATTAATTTATAATGCCTTCTAACATAAACAGTTTTGGTGTTTGAAATGCTACAGCTTTCTCTTGTTACAGATGACGATCTAATCCAAGACTTCCTTTGGATGGACTGTTGCTGTGAAATTGCAGACAAGGTAAGTGTATTTCCTTCTTAATTAATAAACATATATTGAGTGAGAAATCTGCCCTTAATTACTTGATACTTTAATGCAAATAGAGAATATAATCTTTTTCTATTGGTTTTACATGACAGTTTCAAGAAACTTAATGAATGCTTTTCTCATTGTTAAAATTGATGAAAATATCTTGGTGCAAGATGTGTGAATCAATGTAGGAAATACTACACCTAAATAACACATTGACACTTCATTTTACATTTTAAAACAGTATCTCTTGGCAATGACTTTCGTTTATTTCAAGAGAGCTAACTTCACACCAAGGGAGCATACCAGAATCAATTTCTTCGTGGCTCTGTAAGTACTTTAAAATTATCTGGTTTCATTAGGATGACCTTTGCATTACTTCTTTATTACACTGATAATAATGTGATGAGACTTCCTTGAGGCAGTATATAAACAACCTGATCTAGGGGGTGACATCCCTAGAGATGGCAGGGCAGCTGGAACTAGGTGGTCCTTAAAGTCCCTTCCAACCCAAACCATTCTGTGGTTCTATGATCATTGCTACATACTGTACATAAAATAGTGCAAATTCACCATTCTTCATGTGATAGAACAAGCTTGAGTAGCAGGGGTTGCTTGCATTGGTGTAGTAATACACACAGTGGCATTCTGCCTACCACACTGGGTAGGGACCTTCTTAAAGCATTGCAAGAAATACATACAGGACAATACACAACAACATATATATGGCTCACAGGTCTTTGTATAAAACCCTATTTCATATCTTTGCCAGCCTTTAAAGCATTTTTATCAAAACATTTCACCATGACAGGCAGATCAGGAGTAACTTGTTATTAAAGTTTCTGTCAACATGATTTAAATCAACTGTAAAAACATTGCTAGAGAATTTGTGGTAACTTTTTTGAGCAGTTGCAAAATGCGTATACTTTGAAACGGTGGTGGAATCAGTAATCCAGGCCTACATAACCCTTTCTATCTGGCAGCAGAGGGTTCTGCATTTTCTTTCACAGTGTTATGGTGCTCAGGTCATCTTTTTTGGTAACATAGCTTCTCACATGCTCTGATTTGCACACTAGTGCAGGGGCAAAGGCTGCTCCTTCTACTGTCACTGGTACTGTGGGTGACATCCAGACAGAAGGGAGGAGGGACCCTCTGACTCCACTGAAGGGGGAAAAGCCAGGCCAGAACAGTGAAGGGATTAGAAGGGGACAAAGGGCCTGGTGAGACTGGGACTAGAGAGAAAGTGAGAAAACTGGAGAGGAGACTAAAAGTCCTAATTTTTTCAAGTGTAATTTACAGGAGTTTAGTATCAGGTGGATCCAGAGGAAGTGAACATTTTCCTGTTGTCTGAGAAGACAATCCAAAACTAAAAGTAACAGAAGTGAACAAAGGGAAGAACAGAGACATTTAAAAAAATCATTTAAATTTTTCATTTATAACTGAAGATAGACCTTTATTTAGTTGTTTGTTCCTAATTTAATAAGAGCATTGTACTTTTCCGAGAATAGCTAAAATCTATGAAGTAAAAAATTTAAAGTTTAAGATTTCACTGGATAGTTTTAAGCCTTATTTAAAGAATTTAAAGAATCAATCAGAAACTGTTCATTTTAGTTCAAGGGTTTCTTGCCAGCTTGGAGAAAAGATGTCAGGATGTGTTAGTTCTTGCTTATCTCCTAATTTAGGAAACTCTAGGGTAAAACAGTTTTTATAAAAGCTTGGGTTTTTTTACCCAAAGGATGCATATGGAACTAATTAAGAAAATACTGTCTTCCAGAAAGAAGGCTGTATTTTGTTTGTGTTTTTCTCTATGTCTGTTATTTTATGTTAGAAATCATTCTAATATAGTGATTTAAGATTGAATATTTACAAGCATAAACATATATATATTTGAAGGTATCTGGCAAACACAGTTGAAGAAGACAATGAAGAAGCAAAGTATGACATTTTCCCATGGGCTTTGGGCAAAGCCTGGAGAAAGCTCTTCCCCGATTTCTTAAAGTTAAGAGATCAACTGTGGAGTAGAATTGACTACAGGGCTATTGTAAGCAGACGCTGCTGTGAAGAGGTAGGGAGGGAGATTTCATAGATGCTAAAATCACAACAATTAACATCAGCTAGCAATTTAGCTCTGTACAGTTTTTTCCCTAAAGTAAACAGACAATCCATGGGAAAGAACAGATGCTGCTAAAATGTAACGGTCCATTTATTCCCCATGATATTTTTTCCTTCTCCATTTAAAATACATTGTTTGAAACTGTTTTTAAAGTAAAGTAGAATATTTTATATTGCACTGCTGTTAAAAGTGAAGTTTCTATTGGCTAGAATCTGCTTCATGCAAATGTTTTTTATTTAAAATCTACCTTAATTTGTTTCACTTCATCCACTTTAGAAATAACTTTGTGTGCTTTACAATTTATAAGAAAAATAAATGTTCCTCACTTTTCAGGTGAAGTGTGTATCTGGAAAAACCCTTGTTATGCTCTTATTACATAATGTTTACTTCCAGATGAACAGAAAATCTCATTTTCTCTAGAGGCCCATTTCTGGGGATGGATTAGATGCTATGGGAAAAGCACAAGGAACAAGGAGAGTGTGGGACGCTTTTCCTTGCAAACCCTCCCAGCTTACCACCGTTGTTATCTCAGTGACGATGAACACTGCCATTTGATTTTTAGTAGCTGCCCAAAGACACCATCTTGTGTCCAACATCCCAAGCATGAGCTACTGTTTGGTACCTGACTAGTATCAGGATTACTTACTCCTGCCTAAGGGAGCAAACCTTCCAGTGGGACAGTATGAGACAGATAAGAGATGATGCCCATTTCAGCTACGTTAATTCCCTGCCATACACTAACGGAATCTCTTGTGTTCAGCTGCGTTTTCCCATTATTTTCACTCTTCCTGATCCCACGGCTGTTCCCATAGGTGATGGCTATAGCTCCAACACATTACATCTGGCAGCGAGAACGCTCTGTGCACCACAGTGGAGCTCTGAGGAATTACGATGATCAAGTGCAGCTGCCCCGAGGACCCAGCGCTACTCCTACAGACTGCCAGCTCTGCGGTAAGAAAGGCAGATTTGTACGACTCGGATTATCATCTTCCTCCTCATCTACTGACACTTTGGAGATGATGGAATTACACTCATCCCAGAAGCTGAAGGACACCTTTTCAAATGAAAAAATGCTCGTCGACTCTCCTTCTTATAAAGCCCAAGGTATGGTTTAATATTGTGAATAGTTTTCCATTAGTTTAGGCAACTGGGGCCATATTTGCCCTTCAGAGCACTGCAGAGACTGCTCTGTCCTCCCCTATTACACCTTGGCAGAAATGTGCTTTTACTCTCATAGATTCATTTTCAGTTTCACATATTGTATCTTGACTTCCTGGAAGTACCAACTGCTTTATATTGAGTCTCTTCATGGTACTTTCATCTACTATAGTAGATTTTGGGTGCATTTCAGTCTACTTAGGCATTTGTTACTATTCTTGCATTATAAATCAAATTGAGAGTACTGTTTTAAACGCTTGTGAGTGGCTGGAACAGTAAAAATACTGGTGTGTGTAAAGTGAGTTAAAATGCTGAGAGCAGGATGCTCAGTTGTGGTATGGGTTTGGACATAGGTTAAATCACAATTCCCATTTTCCTCTAAGTATTTCATTTGTTGACAATTGATACAAGACTGTTTTAATACTGGGGTATGAGTAGAAAACAAAAGCTTATTGTGAGAATTGTTTATGTAATTGAATCTCTGCCTATTAATCTACTCACAATAGCAGCCTCAGCCTTTTCATTAGGGGCCTCCATTACATACAGCAGTTGTGGGGCAAACCCATTATTAAATTTATTATTAAAAGTGAAACACATTTGAGGTGTAAACTTCCTTGGGCATCTGGATAAGGCCTCAGCTCTGCAAAAATACTCTCCTGTACTTAACCAGTGCAGAGTTCCTAGTATACTTATATAATACAAAGGTAGTTATTTATAGCTCCGTGTATTTTATTTCCGTATGTTCTTACTAATATCCAAATTTTCACTATTACAATAAGATTGTTTTTGACAGTTTTAGTACAAATATGATTCTCAAGAGATCCCTCAGCTTTGAAAAATTCGGCATTTGAATATTTCTTGAGATACAAAGCAAGTCAGGTGTTTACAAAACATAATGATTTAATTGTGTTAAACCACTTGCTCAGGTGAGACACAAAATAACTTAAGTCTGTTTTCACTTGAGAGTTCTTGCTTCTCATCTCTGACAAGGGTCAGAAAAAAATGTTTCCTCCAACCATTTAAGAATACTTTATAGTTCACAAATAACCAGGCAACTTGCAGCACAAGCACCAGAAGGGAACCAAAGCTGTGCCTGCCAACAACTGTTTTGATTTTGAAATAAGCACAGCTTTATCAAGTGAATACATTCAGTGAATTACAGTATCTCTTAAAGTTATGCTTCAAGAACTTTGTTCTTAAAGAAACCTACAGTCACCAGTTGGTAGCCAGCAAAGTATTCATTTCAAAGGGCAGCCTTTGATCCCTTGTTTTCTTACTAAAATTTTTTTTCTCCTTATGTCTGGTAGATTGTCAGAGCCTGTCCAGGAAAAGGCAACCATGTAGCATCCTGGATCAAGATAAGTCCATGGACTGGTTTACAAGCAATGGAGAATAAAATGCACTGATAAGACAGAAACAGATACTGTGCTTTGCAGAACAATCTGGGCTGCATCACAACATCAGATGTGATGATTCTCTTCAAATTCTTTACTTTACATAGTGGGATAACAGTTGGTGTTTCAAACTTGAAGTGAGGTAGAAATCAGAGCAGTCATTACTTAAAAGTTACACAACTTGCAAAATGTATTTACTTTGTCATGTTTTATTTTATCCTGATACAATATTCAAATTAGCAGTTAAGGAGGCAGCAGCATCAAGAAAGCAGTGGTCGAAACTTTCTCAGCTTGGTAAGGAATGCTAATGAAAAAACAAAAGTTACTACTAGTATTCCAATATACAATTATTATTTTATTATTATAAGTTTTATGGTTTCATGATATAGGAACATACCAAATGCTAGTACCAAAAATAATAAAAAAAAAAGTTGGTTTCTTTCAAATAAAAATACCCCTAAATATTTAAGATAAACATTTTCCAAGTGTCTCACCTGAATGAGTTTCCTGCCAGTGGGATGGTCGGGCAATGTAAGGCACTGAACGGTTTGTTTCAGCAGCATCACTGAGTGATTCTGTGAGAAGGACATTTTTTTTTTTACTTTGTTCCCAGAAGTTTAAGACCTACATGCACACTAGAGTAGACAGTGTGCATGTAATCTTTTTCCCTGAAGTATTTTTTTTTTGTCACCTATCAGTATATTCAGAACTCTTTGCATTTTGCAGATTTATACTGATTTGCATTATACAGATCTGTACATTTATTTACATCTGTCATATAAATATATATATATGGCAGCATTTTTGGATTTGCCAGAACAACATAATTTTAAAACAGAGCACACTGGCCACCGTTTTGCCTAAGGAATCCTTAAGTCCATCAGGGTCCTCTAAAGCAGCTATGGGATGAGTATAAAGAACTGAATTTTCTTAAAAATCAAAAATTTGAAGACAGTAGTAGAAGGGCAGTCACTCGTTATTGCAGATTAAAATTTATTTTCTATTTAGCTCAGATTTTTTATAGGATACTTAAAAAACAATTAATATGCTTTTTTAAACCTGACAAGGTCTAGGCTGTCCAGAACCTTGCCTATTCTCAGCTGACCTTAGAAAACACTGCCTCTTCCTATACTGGATTAGCAAAGTGCAGTAATAAGGTATCTCAGCAGCAGTGAAGTTCTTACCATTGTATTTGCCTTCTTTGAGAACTGCTTGATCCTGAATATGGATTTCTTCGTATTCATTTTGAGGTGGTTCTTCAATATTTTCTTGAGTTTCCACCACTTGGCTTGATTTGCAATGCTTGAGTTTAGCAGGGAGTACTGACCAGCTTCTGTGAGTTACCTCAATGATCCTTTCACACAAAAAAGGAAGCTTGCAGCTCCGTATTCTGTCTAAAAGGTCAACAACCTGTGTGATGCTTTTGAAGAAATGCAAAGGATAAAGTAGTATTTTGCAAACTCAAATCACAAAATCTCAGTTCTGCTGACTTTGGCATATTCTTTACCTTTGAGGTTACATGAGTCCTTCAGTTTTAGGGTAAAGGAGCAACCTGACTATTGCATTGGAAAACAGTGCATTTACTTTGAGGATGTCATAAAGCCCAAACTTCACTGTAAAGAATGAGAACATTCCCCAAGTAGACGCCAAAGGATTTGGCCAAGTGTAATTTATACTGAGTACAACTCCCAGAGAAAGTTACATCAGGAAAAACCCAACTTTGTCACCCATTTCATTAATGCTGGATATGTACTTCAGAAGATGCTTGGTTTTGTCCCAAGGCCAGGTAATGCCTGAATAAATATGCCAGAAATAAATACTTACTTTGCTAAGTATACAGCACACACCCCACCTTGTTTCAGGCTTGGGTGTACAACAGGCAGAGCACACTGAGGGTTCAGCATATCCAGAACTACCTGCAAGAGAAAGGCATATTAACACGTTTACTGCAAAAACGTAAGCACATCTATCAATGTAACATACAGCAGAGCTGGGGGGAAAAAAAAGCTTATGGGAAAGAGATGCATACAACAGCAGTATGTATGTTTTATTACTACCTCTCAAAACCTGAGGTGCTTACACAAAAACACTTAACACAAAATTAAATCCTCTCTACTTCCAAATGAATTTATATTTAAACAGCAAGTAGCATTTGACGAACTAAGTAAGCCTCCTAGTAATTAAATCCTATAATTCTGACAGTAATAAAAACTCTTAGAAGACTACATTTACTAACACATTTGAATACCTATTTCTCAAATGTGGAAAGAAAAAAGATTGTTCAAATGCATAAAAAGAGTGCCTTATGGTCACAATGCCTAACTTGCTGTCAGTTTCAAGACAAAAAAAAATCTGGTTTTGGCAATTTATCCATCTTCTGCCAGGAAACTATTCAGATTGTATAACAATGGGATATGCAATATCTGATCCTTCCTGCAGAACTGTTGCTTAAAGCATTTTTTGAAATGGTATTTTTATGCTATGTGTTATCTTTGCTTGCACCATTTAAAATTGCTATTTGTTTAAAGCATTTAGTAAGGAAGTAGTTGTAAGTAGTTTGTCTGCTTTACAGGGAAGAGTGGTTAACATCAAGCTATTTTCCCCAGTATGACTCCTTCTTAGGAAATCTAGATATAAAGAAGCAGGACAGGAGAGCAAGCCATAGCATTCTCTGAATTACACCTTAGTTACATTGTGCATTCTATATAGCAGATAGCAAAGTGGTCACATAGTTACCTTTTTAATAAGGTTATGTATTCTTCTGAAATTTAATGCTTGAAATATGTATCTCAATAATATCAGTTTCTCAAAAATACAAGGAAGAAAGTGAGTTGGTCTTTGTTTACAAGACAGCAGTAATTAATTGTAATATTTTTATAGTATAGCTTTATCACTCCTTCATTTGACAACCTGTAACTGAAACCTTGAAAACATTTGTATCTGACAAAAAAAATTACAGTTTCTTTCACTGATGATGATCTGGATTGTTATTTCTCATGTTACATTAGATATGGGAATCCAGTTGGGAGTGCAAGCACTAGAGGTTTTCATTTGTGGAGAAAAGACGTGTCAAATGGGAGAGTTGCGTGGATTCACTCACTGCATCAAGTGTTACAGATTTCATATCTGCAGCAGCTGTTGAAATGTCTTTAAGAATGAACTCCACATTATCTGGCCACTTGTCCACGTGTCCTATTTCCCATGCAGAACGCCAGTGCCTATAGTTCTTCTTAGCTAAACTGTGATGATCATCTCTGATTTCATAACTTAGAACACGTCCTTTGGGCCCAACTGAAAACAAACAGAAGACACTCCACTCACCACTTTACACTGCTGTTATAAATACCTGGGAAGAAAAACCCAACAAAACAAAAGCAAAAAGCATAGTCTATAACATAAGTACACCTTTCCATCTCCACTTTAGGAAATTGTCACATATGCAACAATGACAATCTATGTTTTCTTTACATTTAAAACAAACATATACAGAAAAAGTGCTATGTTAGTTCTTTCACAGACAGAAATCCACCAATGCACAGATGAAATAAAGGGTAGTTATAGCAGTATAGACTGTTCCCAAGATGTTCTCTTGAAGTCACTCCTGCAGCAAAAGACAAGTTGAGCATCTGTGGCCCCTGTAGATCCTTCTGTGTGAGCAACCAGAGGCACCAGCTGAGAACGCTGCACCAGTGCTCACAGCTCACAGGCTAAGGAATCCTGTTCACTAATCTCAGCCCCACAGACAAATTTTCCAGTGTACTCTTTGATTTACCCAGGTTTGTGTAATTTTCCTTTACTGTCTGTAACAGCAATAAATTATTAAGTCTAAATTACTATTCTGAAATTTACCACAAGTCCAGTGTACAATGTTTCTCATAAAGGAAACATTTCCAGGCTGTGCAGGCAGAGAGCAGTGCACTGCTGTATTATTCCATATTTGTATTACTCCAATTCCTCAAGCCTATCCCACTGCTCACTTCTCTCCTTGCTGCTTTGGAATGGGTACAGGCAGCTTTCAGGAAGCAGCAGCTCCCTGGGTCAGTTCTGTGCCTTTCTAAGCCATTTCGGTTTGAAATCACCAGGCTCCTCCCCTCACCTATGTGATCCCACTGCAAATACATTCAGATAACCGAGTAAAAGAAGAGGTGCATTTCCCCGACAGTTGCTCCTTGATCCAGCTCACCCTGCATCAGACAAAGGCCAGAACCAACTTGTAAGAAAGGGAAAGTTTCAGCATGCTGCCTTTGATCACCTGAAGCAGTTGCAGAGTCCCAGTGCCAACTCCTTATAACTTCAGATTATCAGTTTAGAAACATCAGAAAAAGAAAAATCTTCACACTGGGGGGTGTCAGTCTTACCCCCACTCATTCAAAGTAATTCCTACTTTTTGAAATTGCTTTTTTAAAAATAAGAAAAACAAGGTGAAATGGCTAGGCAAAACTTCATTGCTGTGAAGCTGCAGTATGCCAAGTTTGCATACATTGTATTTTCCAGTTCTCAAAGATCTTAGAGTCATGGAAAATACCACTCTCTTAACTTTATCCTGTTTCATGTCAGTAGTTTCTGGGAATGATTAAAGAAAAAATTGAAAAGAAAATATAAGATGAATAACAATTAAGAAATGAACAAAACCTGTTAAATCAACAGGAATTTTGGAAATTAAATAATCCCACGGACATTGGTAAGGTGTCCACTAGATTTGAATTTCAGAATTTACTCACGTAGCAGCTGTTTTCCTTGTTGGATATCACTGGTGTGTATTTAATGGTGACAAAAGCAGCCACCACTACAAAACAGCAAATCAAATCTATTTATTTCTGTGTCAGCACCGGAGTGTGTTCAGCTGTGACTAAAACTGGCTGTATTTGGTGTCAATTTAAATTCAATAGATTTGAAAATAGTAATGCAATTTCATATCTTTCGGCCCCTCCTCACTGTGATCTGGCACACAAGAACTGCACTCTTCCCGTGGATAGGCTTAACAGCCTGGTAATGCCAATGATTTTGCCAACTTGGCCCATTTACAGCTAAATTAATGTGATTAGTAAGAAACTGTTGGACAAGACTGAAAGATGAAGGAATAATTGGCAAGTTCGGGTATGCTTGTACGAAATAGCCACAGTAGGCTGAACGCGAAAGGCAGAAAAATCAATTGGTGTATTTAGCAAGAGCTAGCTTTTGCTGTAGCCAGAAGCAGGTGTTCCATCTCTTTGGGTTTGGGGTCTGCCTGTAGGGAAAGATGGGGAAAGCCAATGACTCTTATTTTCCCTCTCTCTGAATGGAAAGAGAAGCGCTGATGTTTTGTCAGCTTCTAGCTCCTAAGCAGCAATATTCGCATTGAGGATTATCCCATGCTAGCTTCAAAATCCCAATGGAACTAAAAAACCCCAAACATTAGTTTATTCCAGAAAGACGATCAGAAGAAACCAAGCAATAGCAGTAGGAGACTGAAGGAGGAAGAGGGAGAAGAGGTGCAACCACAGACCTTGAAACTTGGGCCCAACACATCAAGACCAGCTTCAGTTGAGTGATCTTGAGGCATGGCTGAAACTCAGCTTTCTGTGAGGCCTTCAGTAACCATTTACACTGCGACCCTCTAAGCACAGTCACAATGGTTCACAGTCCCTGTATTGATGTAATTTTCCTTCAAGTCAACAAACTATATGTGAACGCATGAACTGCAGTAAAGCTTTTATGAGCTGAGTAGTTAGGACCATGAGAACTATAAGTACCTGGGAAAAAAGCAAGTTGTGCTAAGTTAATAAACAATAGTGTTGTCTAAAGCCATATTCTGACCTGCTCTTGACAGAAACAAGCTCATAGCCCCAGACCCGCTGCCAGTTTCCAACACGGTGTCTCCCGGGTGGATATCCATCATCATTAATAGAGCACTTATATCCTGCGAGCAAGAAAAGCACGGAACGTTACTATCCGCGAAAAACGAAAGGTGAGATTCGGCCAGCGACCTCCCAGCCACCAGCCGGTACCTTGGGGTAGGCGATGGTGGGTCCCCGCGGCATGAGCAACACGTACTCGTCCAGCGAGGGCCGCCGCAGCAGCAGCCGCGCCCCACCCGACGTGCGCAGCACCTGCCCGGGCAGCTGCCCGATAATGTCGCGGTGGGGCAGGACGCCACTGGGGCTGCTCAGCACCGCCTCCGCCGCCAGCCGGCACAGCAGCTTCAGCGGCGCGTTGTGCTTCCTCTGTATCTCCGCCAGCGCCAGCTCCCCGGCGCGGAAAGCGCCGGAACGCGGACCCGCCGCCTCAGCCAGCGCTTGACGGGGGGCGGCCACCGCCGTCTCCTCCTTCTCCTCCTCTCGAGGCGGCGGCGCTACCGCTGCTGCCACCGCCGCCGCTTCCTCGGGCGGCAGCAGCCGCCTCACCCGCTCCAGCGGCGACAGCGAAGTCTCCCATGCCCGCCTCCGAGGCTTCCCGTCGGCAGGAAAAGAAGAAGAAGAAGAAGAGAAGGAAGAGGAGGAGGAGGCGGAGGCAAGCCCCCGACGCAGCGCGCGCCAGGCCCTCATGGAGTGGCCGGCGGCGGGAAAAGGGGGCGCGGCTCGCGTGCCCAACTGTCGCCCCGCGCGCCTGCGCCGCCCGCCCCGATGACGCCGTACGGCGTCATCGGGGCGGGCGGCGCAGGCGCGCGGGGCGAGCACGCGGGCGGTGCATGCGCTGCGCGGGGCGGGCCGGGCAGAGCCGAGGGGAGCGCGCGCCATGGCGGCCCCTCCGTGCGCCTTCTCCCCCCGCGGGTGCCGCTTGTTCGCCTCGTCTGGGCCCGATGGGCGGCTGCGCGTGTGGGACACGGCCGGCAGCCGCCTGCAGCACGAGTACGTGCCCTCCGCCCATCTCAGCGCCGCCTGCACATGCTTGGCCTGGGCCCCGGCGGGGGCGCGGCAGATCCCCAGCAAGGTGCGTGGGGAGGGGGGGAGCGGTGAGGCGGGAGGGGCACGCGTGAGGGGTGGAATGGGGATGGGGATGGCGGCGACCCGAGCAGCCCTGACGCGTGGCCGCGGCCCGCTCGGCTTCACCCCGCCCTCCTGGCGCCATGTGGCCGGGCGGGCCGGGGAGCGGGGGCGCTGCGAGGGGGGTGAGGGTCCCGTGGGCTCCGCGGCGTTCGGGCACCGCTCTGCCCCACGTCCCTGTGGCCCCAGGGGTTGGGGATTGTCCACGTGTGTCGCAGCGCGGGATGGGGGGGCGCGGGGGGAGCCGCTCCCCCTCCCGGGATTGCGTTGCTCAAGGTAAATTTCACGTGTCGGTGAGGGAGGCGGCTCTGGAGGTCTTGTTTTGTGTTTTTTTGGAACAAAAATTCGGCAGAAACACTGACTATTGAAAACCATTTGTCTCTCGTATTATCTGCGTGGAAGAAGCCTTCCTTGAAGAAGCGAGGTATGTTACTTGATGGCACGTCTCTGCCATGCTGCAGAGCAGGTTAGCTGCTGTGCACGCTCTCAGTTCGCTTTCCGGTAAAGGCAGCATCTCTCCACACTACCTTACCCTTGGAAGTACTCCCATGCAAGCTGCTACACTGTCTGTGATTCATCTTCCTGAGTCCGGGAATCGTGCAAGAAGGTGTTCAGTAGTTTTATTCACAGCATGCATCAGGAGCCCTTGGATGTTCTCCACCTTGGATCGAGTTTTAGTTAACATCACCTTAGGTGAACACCGAACCTCTGAAAATATCTGGAGTTTGCACTGGGGTACCTTTTTGTCCTCTTAATGTTGAAGTAGTTCTTTAGCTGGAACGTAATGTTTCCTGAGGAAAAAAGAACGCAAAACCTGGATAAAGGATGTGAAATCCACCCCCTTTATCATAAGGGGTGCTTTTTAAGGGGTGTTTTGGTCCATCGGCAATTCAATGTATTTGAAATGCTGTTAAGGCTGTTGCAAAATGCTTAAAACACATAGTATCAACCCAAAGGAGCGCAATATTGTTTTGCTCAGTTGAGCATCTTAGTCCCTGAACTTTGAAAACTCCCAGGACATGCCAAGAATGAAGTAGAGTCAGTTTTAGATGACCTGAACCTGTTCCTTTGTCATGTAACTTTGAAGTAAAAAGGATCCATTAGTTGCAAAGCTCTATAGGTTCTTTGCTCTTAAATTCACTGAAACTGACATGTGAAAATGGGGTTAACGTGTCCTTTGTGAAATAAAACTAATGTAGACACACTTCTGTGGTGCCCTAAGTCAAGCACAGGAAGTTTCTGAGGGGCTTTTGCAGCTTTTTTTTAAAATAACCTTTTCTAGAGACACACTCCTAAGCCCTGCAGGTCTTTGAATTTAACCTGATTTAAGGTTATATGAAAATAACCTTAGCTACCTCTCAGTGTTTCTAGTTTGAATCCTGTCCCCTGCTTGGAAGCTAGTCCCTTTTAAAGTGGAGCTGGGAAACATGCTGTTTCTTGCAATAATTGTGCCATAAAACCTTTAAAAGTCATTGTTTATTTCCTTAGACTGAGTTGTAGAACTAAAACTGGGATAGTTATGTCAAAAACATTTCCTTAAATATTTTTTTCTGATGTTCTTTAGTCTTTTTTTTGTTCCTGGAGAGTTGACATCTGTCCAGGCAGTTCTGTTATCTTGTGTTCAGAAGTAGAACTCTGTCAGTAGGTAGCTATAAATGGTGTTTGGCCAAATTACACTTAAACTCAGTATGTTTTGGACTGCTGCCATGTTAATGGAGGCCATGTGTTACAGGGGGATATTAGAAATCACGTTTTGAACTGCACACTCTGGAATTGCTGATGCAGGGGTGGCTTTACTGGGATGCTCCCTGCCCACGTGCTTCCAGTGTCAGTGCTTCCTGTGTTCTGTGTTCATCACCTCCTGCTCCATGGGGTGGCTTGTGCAAGAGTGGACCTCCAACATTCAAAGCAACTTATTTTACTTTCTTCCTAACAAGGTGCAACTGCACTGTTACTGTCAAGTGTCAAGACCTTTAGAATTCTCCCCATTTTAGTGTTCTAAGTGCTTTATTTCACATGTGAGCAGATTTCTTTCTAAAAAGTCTCAGTGGCTTATCAAGTCAAGGAAGAACATTATGGGAAAATGTGTGCATGGTTCCTTTTCAAGTAACTCCTTTTAACCATCTCTATGGATTTAAACATGGTGCTTTTTCAGCCAAAGTTGAAGGATTTCTAAGTAAGCTTGAATTTCCATAATCTTAAAAAGAAAACAGATTACAATGAAACTGGTACTTGTCCTGTCCATGACAACAGGATGTTCTTCTATTTAAGACCCTGATCAGTAAGTGAATCCCCCGTGGATGTTAAGTGCAGTTGCCATTCTGCCGTAATCTAATATAGGGTAGGGAAGTTTGATATTTTTTTTAAGTTCTTGGAGTGTTTTTTTCAAATAATCTCAAACATTAACAGGTGTCTGAATTTTCCAACAAAGTGCTCCACTCGTATTACTGATAAGGGGTGATCAGTAAAGAAATGCATGTGGAAAAAAAAATGGAGAAACTTTCACTGTCCCTTGCTTTCTCTTGACCCTGGAAATAACTGTACTTGTGGGAATTCTGTTGTGCGCTTGAGTTGTTCCAAGGAAATCTGCCATAGCAAACTGAAACAGGAGGGTGAAAAAATTTATTTGAAAGATTTATTCAGGGGAAGAGAATAAAGTCTGTTATTAAGTTTGGTTTTGCTTTGCAGTGGGGGTGTGTGAGGTAATTGGTAAAACTACTTAAAGAAATTGAAAAGTACCAGAAAACACATGAGTTGTACTTGCATCTCCACTCTGTGGCCTTTGTCTTTGCATGTCAGACAGCAGTTTGAATTAATTGCCATTAGCTTCTCAGCATCTGTTTTTTAATATTTTATAAATACTTTTCTTTCCCAGGAAAGATAAAGCCTAAACAAATACTTGCAAAATCCTCTAATTGTAATTTTTAAGAGTTTGCATTTGATGTAAAAGTTATCTTTACAACTATTTTGTATTTCTTAGCCTAAACCAAAACACTTTTCATTGCAGATGGTGTTAGCTCTAGTAAGTACAGAAAGAATAGAAAATCCTGCTTCAAAGAACCAATGTGTTTATCCTTCACTATCAAACTTTTGTATTTTAATTGTGGTGAAAACTACCACATCCTGATTGTCGTATTTCTGGACCTGAATAGAAACTACATGTTCACTGTGTCATGTCTGCTGTAAAACAGATTAGCTACACCACATAGGACTTGAACAGAGCTGGTTGCTCACATTTTATCAGGCTGCTTGTCAGTGCAAATGGATCTGTTGTGTAGAGGAAGCATTAGCATGTATGTTGTTTTTAAATTGAGAGAATGCTTTGCTGTGATGTAACAAATGTAAGGAGACTTACCAAGGTCCAATTTAAAAACTAATCAGTGGCATTAGGGATTTTTTTTTTCATGCCCTTGAACAATTTTTTTAATTTTCTTTTTTATTTGTATGTGTGCAATTAGTGATTTACCCAGTGAGAATGAATATGATGACTTCTTCTGCCCTCTTTAAGTTTCACGTGCTTAAGAACCAGTTTTATTCCTTCTCCCCTTCCCAGTGATCTCTATTCCCAAGTTTTTGGTTAAAGGAGACAAAGTGAAATCCCTCCTTGAGGTGGCTAATAGCACTTGCAGAGCGAAAGAGTGAAGACTTATGAATTTCCTGATTGTATGAGGACCTCTGGTACAGACAGCAGGACTTGCGCAGAGTACTTTCCTTTGAATCCCAGTCACTTCCCTCTGTGGAATGGGGTAGCCCTTTATTTTTAAGAAGCATTATGAATGCTTCAGGTTTGCAAGACTTTTGATTACTTTTTGAGAAAAAATAAACTGATCGCGATTAAGTGTTTCCATTTATGGATGAAGTATTCTGAATGTGCTAATCTTTACTTCTGCTTCTGGGACAGGAAATTTGTGAAAAACTTAAAGGTGTTTTTCCCCACATGCATATGGTTGGGGTGGTAGCAAAATGGCCTCCACCAGATGTTTCCAAGTGATTCAAAGCAAGTTTGTTACACTGTACGTGGAGGTACAAGATGAGTTTTTAGGATTGTTTACACGCCTGTGTTCATTTTGTGTCTTAGCAGTGTTTGTGCTGGCTGCTTGCGTCTCAGACTTCTCTTAAGGTTTTCCATTAGCTAGTCAGACTGATTTATTTCACAGTTTCTTTCTTTTGCTTTTCTAGGATGGCCCTCAGAGGAAAAAACGGAAGTCTGAAGTTGGAGAAGTGGACAAGCAGTTAGATATCCTGGCTATTGGTACAGCAGTTGGTAGCATTTTGTTGTACAGCACAGTAAAAGGAGAATTACAGAGCAAGCTAGTAAGTAATGCACCGTTCATCACATGCTACCAAACACTGATGGTTTCAGTCAGTTTAGATCAAAAAAAATCTTGGTTTCTAAGTTAGTGCAATGTCTTAATGCTGTCCATGGATTTGCTACTTTCCATTAAAAGTAACAGTAACGGTGAAATTCCTCGCTGGAGAGTAAAATACTTGGTAGGACTGTCACACCCTCAGTTCCTGCATGGCATTGTAGGAGGGAAGGGTAGAGAACTCGTCAACACTTGGGTAGCTGTCACTGATGGACTCTTCTGTAAATACACCTCCCTTGTGGAAGCTTTTGAGCTCTCTCAATATATGATCTTTTTTGAATGATACACAGTGATTTTAATTTTGCCTTTTCAAGCTCCCAAGTACTTCCATTTTAGTTGTGGGTTACATAACAAGCCAAATAAATCCATATGAATTGCTGGGCAATA